ATTCCCCTGTACCATACCTGGCCCGACTACTTACCAGAAAAGAACAGGTATCAAATGAACTACGTCAAATGCTTCGTACATGAAACGTATGTCACCGACATTCTTTACCTTTTGTTTGGATTATTTTTATTTCATTCTGTCTGACAAACAGTGAACATTTTAAACTGAAATGTAAGCATATATGCTTACACAAGTTACAAATACAAATACAAATACATTATATAAAACCTTATTGTTCGTACTACTGTTTTGGGTGTTTTTATTGATCAAGTCAATTTCCTTAGTATAGGTTAAGGGAAAACCGCTACGTGTGTGAACTAATCAGTGCATCGTAGCTACAGTCAGTGTAATCTAGGAAGCGCGACAGGGAAAAACGGATCGATAGGGAATATGCATACGTATCACCGGTTAATTGGACGGTTATGATCAAATCGCATGTATTTTTTCGATTTCAAGCAGTTGTATATGTGGAGGATAAAAAGACACGAGGCAATAGAAATGAAACATGCTTAAGACTAGAGGGTTTGTGGGAAATTTCAGCAAACCCTTTGGAGGTCATATTGAAACTGTGCCCGTTGGAGAAGGATAAGAAACACGCAAATAGCCTGTACACTGGCGACCAGGATAGATCTGATTATAAATGACTACTGACAAAAATAAAGTAGTCAGTTTCGGTTGCTTCATGTTGCCACGCGTATACCGGTTACCTACGAGAATGGGCGAACAGCGTAGTTCTGATTCAGGGGATTTAATGCGAAACCCAAAGCTAGGATATGGCAATCACCGTTCGATGTCAGTTCAATGTCATTAAACTAGGGTGTCTGTAGATGGGAGCCGAAAGTACCGAGATTGAGGTGTAGTATCGTGTAGTCCAGTGGGCCAATGACTTAATCACAGCCTCTTATAACTAACACAATTAGAATTTAACTAACGGTTACATGTCTATAATGGTGTTGAATAAATTGTACAAATTTGACCTGAGCATTCTGCAGACTGCATCTTCAAGCAGAGTCCACACATCAATCATACACTCTGGAGGTAAGGGAATTCGGTTTCGCTCTCAGTATAGCTCATCAGTAATGCACATCCACCTTTCGGTCAGATGCCATTGAGCAAAAAGAATGTATAGTGACAAGTATATTTCCAAATCCAACTATTTATCGTGGATAGTCGTCGTGTAGAAAGAAAGTGAGCAGAGATATGGTGCGGACAGAGTTCAAATACACGTGAAAGATCAACAGAAATAGAAAAGGGTACAAAACCGTAACTTGTAAGCCAGTGGGATTTCCGTGGTGTTACCATAAACATGTTTGTGAATTGGTTCCCTATCACGTATTAGGGCGTCGCCATAACGCGGCCAGATAGACCCATATTGACAATACTGGTCCACTGTATGCTTTCACATACACTGCCAATGCGAACTGCAAATTGACCGAAGAGGAGAGCATCGATCTACTGAGAGAAGAGTCGCGCAGGGTTGTCTGGCTGTCACCCAAACTTCGAGATGCACGAAACAGACTGGTAGAATCGCCGAAATCCAGATCATAATCCGGGCCGAGAAGTTCGTGAATTCCTTTCGCTTTCACACGTTCCAAAATGACTGGGATTTCCGCATAGGAGAAGTTCATCGGGAAGCCATAAACCTGTGAAACAAACCAAACGGATACTAATGAACCGGCATCTTTATTTTTCGCCCCCGACCACGTAGTTAAAATACTTTTTAAAGCGTGATAGATTTCCATTTTTTCGATTGTTCATCTGCTAAACAAGTTTTGGTAAATGTGGGTTGTGATGAACTCCTGTGAACGCAAATACTGAGAAACTGTAAAATAGATCTTCACATGAGATGATGATGATGATGATGAGAGATTTGACCTAAAATTCAGTTTCTCAAAGTTTGGGTTATAGATTAAACGGATTTCTCTGGAGAAAATCGAAATATATAGACAAAAGAAGTCTTGCGTGGGATTCAGACCCATGCCCGAGATTGAATCACAATCTGATACACCGTTCCATTGCTGAATGTCAGATGAACAACCAAGTAAAATATTTGTGCAGCCTTGTAGATCCACCGATTTTGCTTTGCCTATCATATCAGAATCTTCCATCGGAACCTCATGACTAAGAGAATAAATCCTGTACGATTAGTAATTTCCATGAATGCTTTTTGTCATCGTTCAGAGCATCCAGCATAAGTGAAATGGGATGTGAAATTAGAGTAATCAGTAAGTTCACAATACGTTTTGTCCAAGACCGGAATACCGAGGAGCCGATTTCATGATAATAAAAATGAAAAGTGACCTGATCCCCTTATTCCCCAGCGCGGTAAATAGATGTCACGTGATTCCTGTTCGATGACCGACACAAGTGCTTTGTCCTTGCCGGAACCCATCAGCAATGTATTTATGTCATTTATGTCCTTTCCGGGACACCGAACCTGAACCTTTGAGTTTGGATCCAAAACCTTTCGCTTCTGAGCTACAAGATCGATTACTGGTACTCAAGCCAATATATGCATAAGCCCCAAAAAATATGCCGTCGTTTTAATTCCGAGCAAATTCACGTACACCGATCGACAAACCGGTGTGTTTGGTAAAATTATGTGGAATCGGGAGAAGAAACATTGATGATCATAATACCAAAAACGAATTTCAATCAAACTTTGGGATTCCTGAGTTTCAAATCATGGGCTTCCTTTCTAGTTTGTACACCCACGGGTAAAGTAGTACATGGATTGTGCTATATCGTGTATATTTCCAATTCCTCTATCTGACACGGATTCTCTGAGCACTTGTTACCAGGTGTCCAGACGTGTGATGATGGCACGCCTGCTATGCACAATCAAAGCTCATTAGGCCTTCTAATGACTCGAAGTCAGCGGCTCGTTCTAGCTGCGTAAGCTCCACGCCCATCCGACCGATTGATCGTGTGATTGCCGGATCGACACAGGCGAACTAGTCATAAATCCTATTCTGAATAAGCTTTAGAATAAAACTGCCACAATGGAAGACCGACTGAGAAGTCATTAAACGTAGAACATTTATCGACGTGCTATCCAATAAGGATGGCGTCTAAATATGGAACAGCGAAGCTTGTATAAATGACAATTTTTTCCGGAACGAGTCCGGGGTGTATTTGAAGGATGATAGCAATCGGCAAATCAGTCGAAACGAGGGAACTGTGTGTGCATGTGTGTGTGTGTGTGTGTGTGATCAGCATTCTGAGCAGAACGTCCACAATGAGCAGTATGGAGGAGGCACAGTTTCGTAACGGGAGAGTTGCCAGAATATATCAGCGGCAGACACTCAATGAAAACACAATTCAGTGCACACAGCTTATTTTCGAAAAGACATAAACCTCGATAAGACACATTTCAT